AACTCTCCGCTCCGTTTGAGACCAAATTTGGTTTTAGGCAAGGCGACTACATTTATTTGATGTTACAAAGCGTAATACGATCTGCAGATCTGAATCACCATGACACCAGAAATAGCAAAAACATTAAGCTGCCGACGTATGATGATGATATTGGCATCGTCAGACTCAATACCTCGGCTGTGACCCTGCGAGGGGGTTAATTTGTGGTTTGAGAAAAAAGTACTTTTTAAAGGAACTGCTTGTTTTCGGTTTAGTTTCCGCTAGCAATTTCGTGCCCGGATAGCATATTTTCTATGATATTAAAGGAAGAATATTTTAGACCTTAACATTGAATTTTAATTATGTGGCTTAGAGCTTTAAGTGCATAAATAATGGTTTATCCAAATGCAATTGCGTAAAGCTTTGATCGCTGACAGTTTAGCAAATTACAACTAAATTTATAACTTTGTCATGTTCAGAGAATGTGTAGCTTAATCAGCATGTACTCATAAGAATCCATTAAGTATGTATAATACATTGTAATACAATCAATGCGAATTGAATTATAAAAGTAAGCCTATGCCCATTAACCTTAAAAACGAAAAAAAAAACATTACAAAGTCACGGAACAATAGTTAGAAATATGAGGAGTTAACTTTGCAAATTTTGGCAGCTGCATACATACATATGCACATGCAAACAAACATAACGAAATATTAAGCCACGTACCTGTAAATTCTCTACATCGCGATCGTATAAAAGCCGCGCGCCACAACCAAATTGGTATCAGTAATCGATCAGTCATTTCATTGCAAGCATTACAGCACCCACTTCAAGTACTTAGCTCAATCAAAAGCAAACGGACAATCAACTAATTTCATAGAAATGGCTTTCAAATTCGTTGTACTCTCAGCTCTTTTGGCTGTCGCCAGCGCCGGTGTGTTGCAGCCCGTCACCTACGCCCACTACGCTAATCCCGCCGTCGATGCCGTCGCCTCCAGCCACCAGAACGTCGTACGCACTTTCGATGGTACTGTCTCACAGTACTCGAAATCCATTGAAACTCCCTACTCCAGCGTTCACAAATCGGATACTCGCGTCAGCAATAATGTCTACACTCCTGCTGTGGCCAAGACCGTCACTTACGCAGCGCCTGCTGTAGCTAAAACGGTCTATGCTGCTCCAGCTCCAACCGCTTACTATGCACACTCCGCTCCAGTTGCTAAGGCCGTGACATATTCTGCTCCAGCTGTGGCCAAGACCGTTACCTATGCTGCTCCAGCACACACACCAGCTTTATACACCCACGCCACTCCGATCGTTAGCAAAGCGGTGTATGCACCTGCTCACGCCCACTCCGTTGTTGCTGCTCCAGTCAAGACTGTCACCTACGCTGCTCCTGCTCCAGTGTATCAACATGAAGTACCTGTTGCCAAAACTGTAACCTATGCTGCCCCAGCTGTGGCAAAGTCTGTCGCCTATGCTGCTCCTGCTCCAGTTTACCACCAGGTAGCTCCAGTTTATCACCACGAGGCTCCAGTTTACCACCATGCAGCTCCTGTGGCCACCACCAATATTAACCACGGATCAGCTGCGACTACATACACCCACAATGCTCCCGGACTGTCCGGTTATGGTTCCAGCCAGACAGTGCACTACTCACCAGCTGATACCGCTTCGCACATGAGCTTCGATGGTTTCGGTACCCACTGGGGTTGGTAAACAATTTCTGCTAGATTTTAGAAACTTGATGAGTTACTCCATTTGTTAAAAGTGAATGTTATTTACATACATATATTTTTATTGTTAATTTTTGATTGTTGAGCTCTTGTTTTGAATAAAGTGTTTTGTATTGCAAATCGAATTTAAAATTTTTAAGTTTCATACGGATTAGCAAATAATTGCGCCCCATGAACAAATTTTATTATTTTCTCTACTGGTCCAAGTTTACGCAGAAATTCTTCTGGTGGAAAGAACTTGGCCAGGTCGTGCTTATTAGAATTTTCCTATTCCACGTTTTAAAGCTTCTTACAGACATCTCATGTGAGATCGTTATGTAAAACCCCAAACCAATCATCCATATAGCAAAGTCTACCTATGTACCTGTTGTTAGTATTTACTCTAGGTTCGTTAATTTTTGAGACTAAAATGTACTACTTCAGAGGGGCTTACGTAATCGGTTTACCAAGTTGTGTCTTAGAAGCACTCCTCCCGCACTTGTGGTTTCCGATGTCCGGTTTGGAATCATTTGTAAAGATTGGAATCTCTTCATCAGATTGGAGTCGAGAAACAGAAGGGAGTGATACAAAATAAAAGCGTAATAAAGCATACTTGGCTGCCTAGCCAATTCCACACCAACACTGTAGTGCGCAGGGAAGAATCACCTCCTGCAAAGAAGACCTTATAACTGTTCAATCTAATGATGATTGGTTGGTTTGCCTCTCGGTACCCCTCGGGTACCTGTCTACCTAAGTTGACCGTTGATCACCCTCACTTTATTCGATCGCCGAACGGATGCAGTAGTATAGTACGAGACCAACGAAATAGATCACAATGATCTCCTACAATGCAGTTTTGGATACTTGCATGAAGAAAGTAAATCCTATTTAAAAACTTCGGGTATGGCATCGGTGATTCCACTGAAGCCACGTCTTTTGCTTGAGAACACAGATAACACCAAATCTGCGACAGGCAGAGAAAGTTTTTACTCTGCTCGTGATTCCACTGAAGCCACGTCTTTTGCTTGAGAACACAGATAACACTAAATCACCGACGGGCAGAGAAAGCTTTTACTCTGCTCGCGTCTACACAAAATATATAGAAAGCTTAAAAGAGCTTTGCCCGCGGGCCCATCTCCGCTCTAAATTCATCATGTAAACTTTTAACGTCCACCACAAGTATGGCCGAATTACCAAGCTGTCAACCTGCAATAGCCAATAGACCTTTAGCTTCAGCACTCAACGTCGACAGAATCTGAGATAAATCTCCTTAAGGGAAACTCAAAAGCGCCTTCAAACAGAGGTAGGAGCTAACCCTCGGTCCATTGTCCCAAATCTTCCAAAGTTGTATTTTGTGTATTGACAACTGAGTGGAAGATCAAGCTATCTTGGCAGCCCGTTCGAAAACGCCCTATCTCAGTAAACTTTTCAAGAACACCATAATTCAAAATTTGGTTGAAGAACGCCCCATCTCAGAGTTTGGCTCAAAAACGCCCTACCTCAACTGAAAATATATTGAAAATATTTTGAGGTAGGGCATTTTTGAATCACCAGCTGAGATACGCTTCAGCCAAATTATTGGAAAGTTTTATGATATGGGCATTTTCGAACTGGCTTTCGAGATAGGTCGATCTTCCACACAGCCATCGATATATTTTGAATTTTTCGATTCCGATTTTTTGGTGTTTAACGGTTCTAAGGATTATGAATGAAATTTTAGCTTAATAAAAATTTTAAATTTTATTGTACCCATATTCCAATTCAGTCGGGTATATATTTATCGTAGGAGGTACGTTAGACCAAAATGATCTTGAAGTATTATATACTTAGTATTGGGTAAGAAATGAAAAAGCTTTGAAGAAAACACGATTTTGGATTTGTAGGGTGTGGTTAGCATTTCTATTATATGATCCTTTAAATACCTTCACTTGAGTACCACCCCTAGGGTTAATTTTTTTTTACCTTATTTAAATGAGCGACCAAGTTACAGATCTTATTTTATCCCCGTATCGTTAAGGAGCGTCGAAGGATTCCTTGACTTAGCGACTTCAGTGGTAAAAGTAAGCAACTCCTCTGTTTGACAAGTGTTTCACTGACCTGAAGTGGACAGTAGGAAAGCCAGTAACAATTCATACTTCGTGTACAGGAAGGTGAAAGCACAATTAAGGTTTGGTGAGGGCCTTAATCCTCACACTAATGCCACTAATTTGGACCGAATTTGGCCGTGAGAAAAATATTTTGACTCCAGCGCTATCTGCTCGGTATTTTGGCAAACCTTTTTTTTACGAACTAACTATTGCATATCTCAGATCTAGATCGAATTGGAGCGATAAGACGAATTCCCAAAAAATTTGGGATCCAGCTTCATCAAGGCAAACATTCTCACCAAAAATTATTATTCCTATAAAATGATTGACATTCTCTCGAATTTGAGCTATGTAAATTGCAACGTAGCGATAAATTAAAAAAAAATAGGGAAAAATATTTACGTTGCTCAGAAAACAATTAAACATCTTATAGCGGCAATATATACTGCCATGGAAATCCCATTGCCGCGAGTAAGCGAATGTCATCATGAGGCTTATTTTATTTATTGTCGAAACCAAATCCACAAAAAGCCTTCACCTTCCATAGTTGCATATTCTCTAAAAAAAAAATGTGCTGACCAACGACCAAACAGCCAAATCACCAAATCAAGATAATCCCAAAAGTAACCACAAATTGAAATATAAAACTGATACAATAAAATTTATTTGCACAACAAACAATAGAAAATGAGCATTTTTTGTTAATTTATTTATATTTTTTTTGCAATAGGCAATATAAATAACACTAACCACACCGGTCTAATATGTATGTACATATAATGGAGCATAAGTCAAGTACGTCACGACAAATATGAAAGCGTCAATCAAAAACGCAACCAAAACAATGCTTAATGTGGTTTATCTGCACAAAAAAAAGTAAATATTAAAAAAATGCAAATAAAAACAGTACTTGTAAAAGAAACACTCACTCAATGTGTCTAGGTAAATATGGAGCAAAGCGCGCCGAAAGCAAATTAAGAAATACAAATCATATGAAATGGTGCGTTAAGTACCTATACGCTTATCAAGTGGTAATGCGGCGCATGCGCAGAACTAGCTGGCTGTTAGGTAGACTACGAAAAAATGCGCTGTCATATTCAAACAGGAAAGGTGTAGTTAATTAGGGCGATGGAGGCGGAAAGCAAATTGGAACCTGTCTTTTCCTATTTACTTTTTGAGTGAGCGCTGCGAAGACGCCGACCTTCACAAGCTGTGGGTGTTTTAAAGTCTTTTTTTATTTGTTTTTTTTTTTTTGCACGGCTGACTGTCATACATTTTGCCTGATACAGTTATTTTTTTGCGAATTTCTGTTATAAATATGTTTTTAGTAGAAACAGAACTACATTTGTATAACCTGTAGGAAAATCTTAATGCAGCGCTGGAGTTTCTAAAGAGGAACGGATAGAGAAGTAATGGTGGAACTGATTGCGGACCGTTAATGCACTCTTTATCGAATTGGCATAAGCCAGAAGCCACTTGGTATACATTTTTTTGGATTGCACTGTTGGTACAATTTTAATTCCTGTTTTGCTAGTCTCTCTCCTCCTAAGAATTTTCAGACGCCACCCCAGATTTGTTCTCACCGGTTGCGCTACAATCAAATCAACGCATCTTGTACACTACGAGTATCGTTTTTGCTACTGATTTCTTTCATTTATCCAATTTTGAAGGAATTGTCGATACACTAACATGGTCATTATGGCCACTGTCTTTCAACTTACCACAGTCTTTCGAAAGACAAAAGTCTTTCGTAAGAAAATTTTTAATTATGGAAAATATCTTGAAAGCTCTGTCTTTCGAACGACTAATTGAAAGATCAGCTAACGAGAATGTCTTAGCGTTTTCCTAATTGCCTGGCAGCAATAAGTTTTCTAAAAATTTAATTTAATAAAAAAACATAAATATATGTATGTATACACTTTTGTTTTTAAAGCAGCAAAATCTAAAATTATAAGAAAACTGAAAAAAAAAAACAAATTAAAAACAAGAAAAAACAACATAATTTTTCTGTTAAAGAAAGCAATAAAAAATAGAAAAAAGTTTCTAAAAATTAAATGAAATTAATAATCATGTTTATTCATTTCCTTTTAAAACAACAAAATCTAAAATTATATGAAAACTCAGAAAATTAAATTAAAAGGTAGAAAAAATATCATAAGCTCCAAAAAATTAAATATGAAATCAAAAAATTTTTCCTTTTTAAAATAACAAAATCTAAAAGTTAAAGGAAATTTTAATTAAAGAAAAGAAAAAATTATAAAACAAAAAAAGTTTAAAAAAAAATTTATTTTAAAACAATAAAATGTAAAAAAACAATGATATAAAACAAGTTTTCATATAAAAATTAAATTAAAAAGAAATTAAATTAAAAAAGCAAGAAGATAAAATTAAAAAAGCAAGAAGATAAAATTAAAAAAAAGAAGAAATAAATAAACAAGTTTCTAAAAATTAAATTAAATTAATAAACATACATATGTGGATGCATATAATTTTGTTTTTAAAACAACAAAAACTAAATTTATAAAACTTAAAAAATTAAATTAAAAACACAAAATGAAATGCAATTAAAAAAATATTTCCTTTAAAATAATGAAATCTAAAAAATGGAAGAAAATAAAAATTAACAAAAGAAAAAAATTAAAAAAAAAATAACTTAAAAAAAGTTTCTAAAAAGAAACAAAATTTAAAATAATATATTTTTCTTTTTGAAACAATGAAATTAAAAAAAAACAATACATAAAACAAGTGTCGTTAAATTAAATGCAATTAAAAAAAATATATATTTTTCTGTTTAAAACAATAAAATCTAAAAACTAATTAAAAAATTAATAAAATAATAAAATTAAAAATAAAACATAGATTTAAAAAATAAGCAGACTAAGATTCTAACCATCCCATTTGGAAGTACTTCCTGTGC